TGGACAATTAAAACAGACATTCAAGGGGGGAAGAAAAGAAGAATGAACTGGGGGAAGGGTAGAGAAAACAGTGCAACAATGAATGAATGAAAACCCAAAATCTCTGTAAATGGTCATTAAAACTAATACAATTTAATTTAAAAAAAGAAATTTTGATAACACTATAAAGAAACTTCGGCGAGCTCTGGTGGCCTAGTGGCAAGAAGGTGTACTGCAATCCCAGAGGTGCATGGTTCAAATCCACCAGAAGCTCTGCTGGAGAAGGAGGAACAACTCCTCCTATACCAGTCAGATCTGATTTGACGGTATACACACACCAGGGGGGAAAAAAAGACTATAAAGAAACTTCTGAGAAGGTATACAAGGGTTCTAAGACCTGGCTGACAGCGAACAAACGACTGGGCTTCCAGAAGCCCTGGTGGTGCAGTGGTTAAGTAGTATTCTGTTGGGCTAGTTCAAGGATTCCAACCCACCAGCGGAGCTCGTCTGAGGGGGGAAAGGTGTGGGAATCAGTGTCCGCAGGGAATACGGCCTGAGACCCCTACGGGGCTGGCCGACTTTGTCCTAGAGAGTCGCCCTGAGTCCTCAGCAGCTTATCAGGTCTGGGTTTATCTGGATTTTAAAAGGACATCAAATCATGCAGTCTACGCTGTGTGTGCAGGACAGAGGAACCCAGAAGAAAAACGTCATTCAGCAATCTGCTTACAATGGCGAGAACACACACTGTCAGGCCTCCACCAAAGGTGATACAGGAAGAAGGACCACTCAACTCACATTACCATTCAGTCAGAACTCAGTCCGGTGGGTGGTGCTTGTTATTAGGTGCTTTGAGTTGACCATGACCCACAGTGACCCCGTGAACAAGAGTCCTGAACCCTGTCCTATCCTGTGCCATCCTCATTAACTCTGATGCACTTGAGCCCATTGCTACGGTCACTGTGTAGTTTAATTTTTTATTCGCCCCAAACAGGAACACTTAAGGGTCCTTCATGAGCCAAGAATTCATAGTCCATTATGTAGGCAAATGCTTGTGGTACCTTTGTTACAGGTGATGCACTGATGGATAGGACTCCTCCTCTTCTGCCCCACCTCCTCTCCTGTTCCTCCCACATCCCACCTCCTCCTCTCCCTCCTGTCACTAAGTCCTGTCCCACTCACAGGGACCCTCCATTGGGTCCCCGAGGACATACGTCACAGCAGGAGGAGACAGCCTATCTTCCCCCATGAGGCCACGGGTGGATTCGAACCACTGTGTGGCCTTTGGCTTAGCAGCACATCTCACCAGACAAACCATCAGAGCTCCTAAGAAACCAATCCTGAGATAAATACCTTCCGATGAACTAATATATTAATAATAACTGAACTAATACTAATGTTATTATAATAACTGGTCTGCAGTTTATACTAAGGTTCATTCTTTGTATTATTGTACAGTCTTAAGGTTTTGACAAACATATGTAAAAATGTGACCACTACTGTATCTGTATTATTCAATGTCATTTCAGTGGGATCGGGTCCAGAGGCTCACAGGACATCTCAGATAACTGGTATACACAGGTCCTAAAGCTCCGAGATGGGAAGCAGTGCCTGGAGTCTTAAAAGCTTGCAAGCGGTCATATAAGATGTTACTTGTTCTCTCCTTGTCTAAAGGAAGAGAAAGAAGGAAATGTAAAACCCAAAAGACTCACCACCACAGGTGTATCCACCTTGAGACCAGAAGAAGCCAGATGGTGCCTGGGTACCACCCCCAACCATTCTGCGCGGCCACAGCAGACGGGGGCCTGACAGAATGGGAGGGAAAGGTAATAAACTCTAAATAAAGTCTTCAATTTAAAACAAGAACAACACTAAAAAATAGGAGACAAGCTGAGACTAGAAGATGACTTATAGCAACCCTATGAATGAAAGACCTGGCACTGTTCATAGGATTTCTGGAGACAAGTTATTTTGGAAGTGGATGCCACTCCTGCTTACAGGCTTGTTTCAATCAGGCAGCTCCACCAAACACTGTCCCCCATGGGTAACCATTATCGCATTTGGCACATCAGTGTCACAGTGTTTAGCATCACAGCAACCAAGAGTTACCTCTGTACAGCAAATGCACAGACCAGTGCTATACCACTTATTAGAATGTTTGACAAAAAACAATTTAAACCAGGCCTGAGGGCTGCAGATTAAAATCACCCACCTTGGGACTGGTAGCCTAACTTTCTGACCACTAGGCTAATGTAGATCTATGTTGTCATTCTTATTGTTTTTTCAGTAGAAACATTTTATTAAAAAAATAAGGGAGCTCTGGTGGCCTAGTCGCAAGAAGCTGCACTGCAATCCCAGAGGTGTGCAGTTTGAATCCACCAGATGCTCTGCTGGAGAAGGAGGGGCAATATCCTCCTGTACCAGTCAGATCCGATTTGACCGTACACATACAAAAAATAATAAAATAAACAAATTTAAAAAGAAAACATTAAAAAAATTATAGATGCAGATCAATAGCAATTAATTCTATATAATACAATGTATATGAATGGATGTCTGAAACACAATGTAAATGAAGGATTCTATAAAACACAATATACATGAATGAGATACAATATATATGAATTACTATATGCAAGCCAATACAAAAAGGAAAAAAAAAGCAAACCCAAAAAGAGCAAATGTGAACACGTCAAGGTAACTCAAATACTAGAAAGAGTCAGCAGGACCGAAGTCCTGAGAATGTTGCAAACAGTATCACAGAATGACCTGTGGAGAAACTGTTGACTGGGGGCCTGCACTGCTCCACCACAAACACAGAAATACAGGCCATCCCTACAGAAGAGGTGCTATAATATGAAATGGGCAATTTTCTAAAAAGAGTATTTTGCTTGAAATGCAAAGGATTCAAAGAGATTTGTAGGTTGTTGATTTTGATACTTCATACTTGGGCTTTTAAAAAGTTTTCATCAAATGAAGTTTTGT